CAAATCAAAACAAAACTTGGCTAAGTGACCAACTCTACCACAAAAATCACAATGATACACATTAGCATGCTTATGATGAACAATGAGTGCATGTGTGTGTACATGTAATAAAGAAGAAGCCTTATGAGATGCACAAGAAGGATTAATATTCTTATGTTTTTGTGCATCATAGCAAAACTTAGCTAAATGGCCTTTGCGACCACAAATGGAGCACTTGTAAACTTTGCTATACAAGTGTGCATGGTGTGTAGGTGATTTATAAGTTATAGCACTAGATTTAGCACATTTGTCCATAAGTTTCTTATGATTATCAATGCATGTGTTAGAAGTTGAATCTAAGCATGATGTGCGGTTTTTCACAAGATTCAATTTATCATTATGCATACAAGCATTGGAAATAGAAGTAGATGAAACATGATCATTTTTAAAAGAACTAAACTCATTTCTAATAGTTTCTACTTCTATTATGGCATCATTATTAGCATGAGTTAAGCTAGCAATAGATGAAGACATGTTATTATTTTCCAAACTTAATAACTCATTGTTTTCTTTTAAAATAGCATTCTCCTTAACAACAATATCAAGTTTGGAAGCTAGCGACTCATGATCGGATTTTAAACTAATATGCTTGCTTTTAAGATCAATAAAATTATTTTACAATTTAGTATAGGCATGAGATAATCTATCATATGCACAAGCGAGTTTATCAATAGATAAATCATTATCGGAATCGGAATCGCTTACTACACAAGAGTTATCCTCTTGTGGCCGAGTGCATGATGCTCCACATGAACTTGAAGAAGAATCCTCCAAAGCTTGTCGGATTGCCTCCAAGTGCCCTTGATGTACTTATGAATACAGTTAAACCAATCTTAAACCTTGTTTAAAACTCTATAAACTTGTTTAAAATATTTTTTTGTTCACTTCAGAAGTTAGAGGGCAAGGGGTATATATAGGATCATAAGGCAAAGCCCAAAAACCCAAGAAAACCAAGCAAAAAGACAAAATAACGGATATATCAAAATCTGGAAATTATAGTCGTTATGAGGTCGTCGGTCGACTGAAAAAATACATCAGTCGACTGATGACCTCGTTTGGTGAAAAACAGATTTTACAGAGAGCTGGAATTTTGCGTATCTTGTTTTGTAAAATCAATTAAAAATAGTAAATGAACTCCATTAATTATGAAATTTTGAGAGAAGTTTCTAAACATGTAGATGAACAAGTTAAAAAAATAATTTCTCAAATATCACTTCCTAATTGTGAGAAATAATTGATTGAACACAGACATTACAGATACCGAAAACTGCTAAAACATCCAACTTTGTAAAATCGATTTGACATGGTAAAACATCTCCAAAAATCATTAAATTTTGAGGGAAGATTCTAGACATGTAGATGAACATGTTACAAAAAGAATTTCATGATTATAACTTCCCATTTGAGAGAAATAAATTATTTAGTAAACTAGTTAAAAACTACAAAACTAAAAAAACTGAAAAACATCTCATTGGTCGACACATCAGTCGACCGATGACATCGGTCGACACATCAGTCTACTGAAACAATGCAGAAAGCAAAATGAAGATTCTAGGTATTTTTATCAGTCGACTGATAACTTTCACCAGTCGACTGATAACACTGTATCAGCATGTTTTGAATAGAAAAACTGATTTTTTGAAGTGTCTTTAAAAATAGCAAATAAATTCCAAAAAATGTATAACTTTGGAGAATATTTATAAACATGTTAATGAACATGTTACAAAAAGAATTTTTAGAATTGCATTTCACATTTGTAAAATATCATTATTTTTCAAAATAGTCCAAAACATATAAATGTAAACACACTTGTTTTTGTCATTTGACTAAACCATGTTTTGAAACTTTATAAAGTGATTTTATAGACTTAATAAAGTATGTATAAACTGATATTAATGTCTATAAACAAATAAAATAATATTTTCACAAAAACACTTATATTTCAACAAAATCAACAAATACGTGTGTGCGATTAATATATGAGCTTAAAGTATCTACACACAAGTATAAACCTAAAACTAAATTACCCAAGCTATCTTGATCTTCGATGAAGCTCTTCTTGGTAATCTTACGGATGAAGCTTGAACTTGGATCTTGACTTGAATGTGCATTGCTTCACTCCACTATTCCGCCAACCTCCTCTTGATATGATCGTGTAGGCTCAATCCATCCAACCTCCAACAACGTTGTTTGTCTACAATATATAGGAAAACACAAATACTAGACAAACAATATTAGTGGTAAATTGTTTATTAAATATCATCAAAACAAGAAGACCAACAGATAAGAGTTTAGAAAACTTCTCAATAGATCAAGAGGTGGAGGGAGAATAGTTGGAAGCTCAAACTTCAATAGATGATCTCTTCAAGCTCTTGTGGAATTTTCTTCACAAACAAACTCTTGAAATAAACTCAAAAACTCTTCAACAAACTTGTAAAACTCTTTTTAAAACCCTCTTAAACATCCATAAGAAACAATGAAAGTTGAGGGCTTTTTATAGCCTCTTAAACCAGCCACAAACCCCCAAAAACCGAAAATATCAAAAACTAGCCGTTATAGACTGAAAAGACCAAAATACCCCTAAATTCAGCATTCTGGAAATTTATGTATCTGGTTTTGTAAAATCAATTAAAAATAGTAACTTAACTCCAAATATTATGAAACTTTTAGGGAAGGTTCTAGACATGTATAAAAATATGTTAGAGAAAGAATTTCTGAAAAATAATTTCTTATTTGAGAGAATTAAATATTTGAACACAGATATACAGTTTCTGAAAATCTGCTGATATACACGATTTTGTAAAATCAATTGGGCACAGTAAATCAACTCCAAAAATGGTAAAGTTTTGAGTAAAGTTTCTAAACATGTAGCTAAACATTTCAAAGAAATAATTTCTTAAATATCATTTCCAATTTGTGAAAACTCATCTGTTTTGTAAAAAAACATGCACGAACATGCACAAACGAAAAACATGATTTTGTAAATTCAATTAAACGTAACAAATCAATTTCAAACTTGATGAAACTTTGGAAAATGTTTGAAAATATGATTTTGAACATGTTACAAAAAAGAATTTTCCAATTTACATTTCCTAATTGTGGAATCTCATTATTTTGCAAAATCACATAAGTATGGACTTGTAAAAGCTTGATCTTGACAAAATGAGTTTAAACAAAGTTATGAAAACTTTCCAATAGATTTATAAACTTGATAAAAGATATAAAATAATGTTGTTAAGTCTATAATCCAAAACGACGATAAACAAAACCAAACGTGTGTGTGTGTGATATTGAGCTTGAAGTATTAACACAAATAATATAAGCCCTAAACTAATTTACCCAAGCTTGATTGGTCTTCAATATGCTTGACTTGGTAATCTCGGCCCTAAACTAATTTACCCAAGCTTGATTGGTCTTCAATATGCTTGACTTGGTAATCTCGTGGATGAAGCTTGAACTTGATCTTTAACTTTGAATTGCAAGGCTTCACTCCACTATTCCGCCAACCTCCATTGGATATGATCGTTGAAGCTATATTCCATCCATCCTCCAACTCGTTGTTTGCCTAGAAAAGATATGAAAACACAAACACTAGACAAACAACATTAGAAGTAAATTGTTTGTTAAACATCATCAAAATAAGAAGGCCAACAATTACTTGATGATATGGAGGTCGTCGCCACAGAGAGAGGTGATAGAGATTGATAGTTAGTCTCCAAGTTGGAGATTGTTAAGATATGTGAAGCCTAACTATCATACCTGTCCTATACTTCAGATTGAAGAGGAAACAAAAAAAGTTGGAGGAACAGGGTCAACGGTGAAGAAGTTCAAGGAAAAAAACGACGAGGATCCAGTTCGGCAGATTCACGGTCGACCGCAAATCGGGTTTTGGCCCAGGTTCGATTTTTGGACCTGTTTCAGTTTTCTGTTTGTAATACCCTTATGATATTAAAGGGATGATTAGGACAAATTGTAATAGAGACGAAAATGGTAAAATTTTCTCCTGCGGTGGCCGTAGATGTAGCTTCTCACATTTAGAAGTGAACCACATAAAATCTTATTTGTTTGTGATTGTTTTCTTTCTCTCTTATCTCTATTTCCAAATCGCATCAGTGGTTTGATCTCAAAAACCCAACATTTCTCAGTTGAGAAAAACGTGGAAAACGTGGAATTGGGGTTTGTTGCGAGAAAATCTCTCAGAGGCAGATTGAGGGGGTGGAGACGATGGGTTTTTGGGCCTATAAATAGTAGTGTATTCTACTTGCAGAAACACAACGAAAAAAAAGAAGAATCAAGCTCCTTACCCATTAACGGAGCCCTCTTACGAGTTGCTATTTATGCAGGGAAGAACAGCTCGACTCAAAATTAGATATTCGGAGAAGTTCGCGGTCCTAATCAACTCAGTTCATATCAGTTTACCTGTGTGATTTAGACCATCACCACTAACAAAGTTCCAAAAACGGTCTTTTTTCTAAAAGAAGTTTCCAAGCGGTTTCCAAATGAAAAAGTTTATCATAAACTTATGCAAAATGCCGAATTTATAGCAGTTTTGTGAAATTTTCAACCCTAAAAATAATTAGAATGCGCACACCCCCACAACCCCCAACCATGCTCGCCCTTAATCTCAGCCGCGGCGCCACCTTTCTGGTAAATTTTCATCCCACCCCCTCGCATTCCCTCTTATTACTCATCCAACCCCCCTCCCCCCAGGCAGAAAAGTTTACGACCTCTCATATTTTTCGCAGAGGGGCGGGGCGGGAGTGAGGTCGACCAGCGGTTCGTACAGGGATCGGGCGTGTCGGGGAGGGGCGTGTCGGTGAGGGTTTTGCAGCGGCGGGAGAAGGGGAAACGAGGGAGAAGGGCGAAGGGGGCGCTCGTGATGGATCACAGATGATCGAACGAGGTCGATGGATGAGAATCGGCGGGTCTGTCGCGGTGGGTCCAGCAGGATCCCTACCGGTGAGGATCGCGCCACCGAGGATCAGATCGTAATACGCCGTGGAGCGTTCCACCGTTGCAAGGTTAGATTTAGCTTATATGCCCCTAAATCTTCCTCCATTTGCCCAGAGTTAACATAAAAACCGTATGCTTTCCACAGATTTGCATTCCGGGTAATTCTTTTATTTATACTTTACCGTGAGCAGGATGTAGGAAAAATCGGCAATTATACAGATTCAGGAGTAATCTGTATATTGGGTAGACATGAAAAATGTATGGCAAGGAACATTCTTTATTGTTTGTGAAGGGCATGCGATTTATTAATTGGGTAATGAAATTAGCTTTTGATGTCGATTACTCGGTGTTGTTCTTGTAAATATCGTATTGTACGGTAGTCTTTTGCGTATTGTCGATGACATCATAGGTGAATTTGGGAAATTGATGGTTATATTTTTGTTTTTTGTTTGCTTTTATTATATGAAAAAAAATTGAGGTCCATTCTTAAATTCTATTTTGATAATACTGTGCGCAGAGTATTAATCGTCCGTTTGGTGGTTGTTGGGTGTTTAGAAAACGTGAAGCAAGTTTGTTTAACTTTCCTTTTTCTTTGTTGTGCATGGTTATTTTAGAGGTTATTTTTTTTAAACAGGCATTTTCACTCGGAGGATTGACCTTTGAATGCATTAAATAGTCTGATCTGTATCTATGAGTCGTGATATTTCTTCCAAAATAAGCACAGTGTAATAAATATTATGGTAAAATGCATTTATCCTTCCCAATATTTCTAGAAGGCGCATATATCGTCCTAAAAGTTTTATCCAGAAACGTTTCTATTGAAAAGTTTTTTTAATCACTCTCCCCCAGTGTTTCTGTATTTACTTTCCCTTAAAAAGTCATTTATTGCTTCTTTGGGCCTACTAGTTCGGATGCACGTGCGTCCCACGTGGTTAAGTATCACATGTCTTAGTTTTTTATAAATGTTTTTTTCTGTAAATGTTAAGAAATTATGCATAAATAGCTAACGATTTTTCTCTCAAAATCACAATAATCCAAAAACAACAAAAGACTATTTTGAACCCATTCTCATTTTGCATCTCTCATATGCTTCTTCATTGATCTGAAAAATACTAATTATGTTAGTAATATAAACGAATAATATGTGGCTCTAAGGTACAATATAGACAGAGAAAAAAAAAACTTAAGAGAACTAGAAAGAGCATTGTATGTTGAGGGATATATATAATTTTATTAAAAATTTAGTAAGATATGATTTTTACTAATTATTATCTTTCTGCTTTCAGCATGTTTTATGTTATAATTATCGTACTTTATAACAAACCATAACTTTATATCGTCAATTATTTCACCCGAGCTAAAGTACATAACATTTACTGTGGAGAATACTATTAGATGAATAACTTTGCTTTGCCTAATGATTCACCCACTTTTAAACACGAAGAATCTTACATAATATTATTATCAAAGACTCAAGATAGTAATCCGCTGGCCATTCATGCATATAACTATTTAAGTTTTCTCTAACCAGATTGACTAAAGATAATCTTTCTAAATTTTAACGTTATCATCATCATTCAAAAATTTCATCAACTAATAATTTGGATGAGATGATAAACGTAGTGGAACCAAAGATAATCTTTCTGAATTTTAATTTGGTGCTAAAAATTTGACTCTCTTGTTGATAATTTTTACATTGCAATTATAAATTAGCTTATCAATGTTGATGATTAATTGCTTTGAGTGTATATTTTTCCAATATTGATGGGTAGTTTGCAAATACTGGGATTTTGAGGGTATTTTTGCAAATACCCATGATTTAAAGGGGGTAGATATGCAATAACCGATTCAAATAGAAAGGATTATGTTTAAACTTTCAAATTTTATCATTAACTATTAGTTTGAATGAGATGGTAAACTTAGTTTAACTAAAGATAACATTTCTAAATTTTAACTTTATCATCGTCATTCAAAATTTTCATCAAACTATTCAAATACCCATGATTTAAGTGGTATATATGCATATTACCCATTCAAATAGAAAAAATTATGTTTTTAAACCTAAAAATTTACTATCAACTAATAGTATATATGAGATGATGAATTTAGTTTAACTAAAGATAATCTTTCTATATTTTATCTTTATCATCATCATTCAAAATTTTCATCAACTAATAATTTGGCTGAGATGATAAACTTAGTTTAATGAAAAATAATCTTTCTAAATTTTAATTTTTTCATCATAACTAGGATAGGATAACAATTTGATGTCCAAAAGGATCAAGAGTAATATTAATTATGGAAAGTTTTTCTCAAACTCGCACTTTTATAAGGAGTATGATATGATATGATATGTTTAGAATGCTCTGTTTCTCCTAGTATCCATGATATTATAATCAAAGTAACTCAAAAGGCATTTCCCCCTAAGTATAGTGTATGTACACGACAATATAAGATAATTAAGGAAAGGTGAGTTTTGCTAAAGTGCATAAAAGTTGACAAAAAGAAACTATCGAGGGAAATGCAACTGACAGAAACATTAAAGGGGACAAACAACAAAATTTATTTGGGAGGATAAGTGAAACCAATAGGAACATTGATATGAATGATGAAAATATAACTTTTGGGAGATATATGCCACTTGTAAAATCTTAAGTGGAATAAACACAATTTGACAAAAAATTTAATATTTTAAGATGAGTGGTGCAACACATGGAAGAGAAGAGCAAGAGAGTGGAGATTGAGAATTGGTGCATGACGATGTGGGAGCTTCGCCCGGATCTGCCCAATTAGATCTCCATCTTTCTAGGACAAACAATCATCTTGGCTATAGGAAAATCACAAGAAGAATAAGATTGAATGAAATAGAAAATAAAACAAAGCAATATACTGTAAAAATTTACTATATGCAGCTCTTCGTGGCTTATATCTTAACCCTACAAACCAAGGACAACTTTATTTATATAGTATAACCCTGAATACCAAAGAATTTTCTAGAAGGTCCAACCTGAAACCGACTTGGATTTGTTCAGCTTGCTTTTGTTTGCAGTGATCACACATTGTAACCGAATAGTGAGAATAGTGCCGACTGTGACCATGACCTATAAAAACCATGCCTTGTGACTGCTAACTATCTTGGGTAGATTTGTACTATTTTCCTTCTTTTGGATGTATTTCTTCTGTCTTCTTTTATCATTGTTCTTTAGGCTGAAATACTAGGATAATCTTGAAAGTATCCTAGAGGAGGGGGGGGGGGGGGGGG